GCCGCCCATTCTCACCAACTAGTGGCCACTCTTCCATCCTCAAGTTGGTCCCCCAGGTGTCCCTCCATCCATCTTTGTCTAATCCCTCCAACTCTGCTCTGAATCTCATTTTTTTCCTACCTACCTTCTTGGGAATCTCACTTAATCTATCATTCCCTCTAAAATTTAAACTCCCTTCTCTCCAGTGGTACCTTCTTTTCATCAACATGTAATTGATACTTGGGTCTTTTCCACCTCAAAAAACCCCTTCCTTCAGCTGCCCCATCTTCTGCTCCCCTTCACAGTCAAACGTGGAATGATGGTTACCCGTGCTCGCTTCATCAACTTCTTTGCCTTCCTCTTCCACCATCCCCATTGCCACTCCACTGAAGCTGCTTTTGCTAAGATAATCAATGTTCCCATATCATTTAATCCAATGGACCCTTTTTTGTCCTTCTGTGATCTCTTGGCATGTTTTAGGCACTGCTTACCCCCTATCCTCAGAGTCCTTCTCCAGGATTCCTAAGGTCACTGTCTTTTGAGTTCCCTCCTACCTTCTGCCATCTCTGTTATAGAGTCTTCCTCTTCTCCAACCCCCTCAAGGCACCATCCCAGGATCACTGTGCCTTTTATCCTGTACTCTCTCTTGGATGGTCTCATTGACCCCTGTGGCTTGATGTATTAGTTATAAGTGAAATATTGATGACCCACAAATATGGCTCTCTGCAGGCCTCCTTCTGAGTTCCAGACCTGTGTATTCAATTATCTTTGAATAAAATATTCGGATGCCTCATGGGTCCTCCAAATCAGCATATCCAAAGCTGAACTTTGTCATTTTTTAAATGTATCCTTCTGCACAAAACCCTTCAATGTCTACCTAACTGGCCTAAGTGCAAACCCAATGCATTATAATGCCTCCAAGGCCTTAGGTAATCTCTCCACACCCCTTTACCTTCCTGAACTACTACTTTCCCCTAACTCAGACCATGCTAGTCATAGTAGCCAGACATGCTCCCAGCACACTTTGCACTTGCTTTTCCACTGGCTGTTTTCCCTCCAGATATAAGCACTTGCTATCTCATATCCTTGAACAATTTAGTTAAATATCTCTTTTTGGTAAGGCTTTCCCTGACAACCATACACAAAATGGCAACCCACCCTGCAACCTAGCATTCCTTATCCTCTTTCTGATGTCTTTGTCTTTATAACACTTATCGATATTAGACATACTATATACTTTACTTATTATCTACTTCCCTCCACTAGATAATAGATACATCGTGGTAGGAATAATCTACTTGCTCATTGTTTCATTCCAAATGCCTAGGACAAGGCCTGGTATATAGGACACAATTAATAAGTAACAGTGGAATAAATAATCTCCAACCCATCATCCCCCAAGCCTGTTATTCATTGTTTCAATAAATGGCACTCCCATCTACCCAGTACTCAGTACAGAAAACCAAGACTGGCTTTGACTCAGCTCAACTGCTTCTACCCCACATCAAATCATCACTCAGCCCTCCTGTTATCTCCTAAAAATCATCTTCCTCTCTTATCTCCTATCACATAGTTATTTCCTATTCATCCTTCATGTTCCAGCTAAACATCATTTTTACAGATGATATCTGCAATGTTTCCTTCTAAATACCTGACCAGACCTAATACATGTCTGGCCTATTCTAAGTGTTCATCAAATATTTGTTGAATGAATAAATGGCATTTTTCAGAAATGCCAGATTAGGTTCCCCCATTTTCTGTTGCTATCACACCCTGTACATTTCCATATAACACTCATCTCACTGTACAATAATTACTTCATCTGATGTCCTTCTTATTCACTAGGCTATAAGCTCCCTGAAAGCAGAGATCTGCATGAAGGTGAGAGTGAACAGGGAAGGTCCTAAAATACAGAGAGGACTAGCCTGACTACTGAAGGTTCATGCTTATAATACAGGGAAGTCAGTTGAATAGATTGGGGGCAAGGGTGTGATTACAGAGGGATCAATCCAGAGAAAAGGACCTCATTCCATTTTTTTTTCTTTAAAAATTTTTAAAACAAATTTATGGAGATATAATGTAGGTACAATAAATGAATGCACCCATTTTAAGTGAACAGTTTGAAGCATTTTGACACATGTATATATTAATATAACTAGTGCCCCAGTCAAAGCATAGAACATTCCCATCATCCCAGAAAGCTCTCTCTTGCCCCTGCCCTATCAATTCTCCTTGCTTCCAAGCCCAGATAACCACCAATCTGATTCCCATCACTGCAGACAAGCTTTGCCTATTCTAGAACTTTATAAGACTGGACTCATAAAATATATAATTTCATGTCTGTTTTCATCAGTTTATCATAACTATTTCCAACATTTTCTTATAAAATTTTTCAAACATACAGAAAAGTCAAAAGAATTTTATAGTGGAATCCTAAACCTGGATTCTACCGTGAAGGTTTTGCTTTTCTTGCTTTATTACATTTCTATCCATTTATCCATCCTTCTATTCACCTATCAACCTACACCATTTTTTGATACATTTCAGTGTCATTCCATTTTTGATACCAAAGGGAAAGAGGGAATATAACAAGGTAGACAGATTTGGTCTCATACTTCTATATATTAATAAATGAATTATAGCACCAGTTAATATTTAGTTTGGCTTCATTATTAATCACTAAAATTTAGCCATTATTTTTCATTTTTTAACTTATTAGTTTCAAAGAATTCTAATTTCAAGCTTGTATATTCTCTTTGATACCAGACTACAGTCTAATTGCTGTAATAATACACCTGATTAATTTACATACATTTTACTTGCTAATTTAGAAGAATAACTCTAGATAGATCTACAGAAAGACAGACAGACATTTATACATGTGCACACACACACAAACACCCATTTTATAGATAAGGAAACTAACATAGTAGGATTTTTAACTTACTTTAAGATTATATAATTCATAAGTCATAGATCCAGGATTTGAACACAGATCTGTGTGACTTCAAAATTTGTGCACTTTTACTATTCCACAATGCTTCCATAATATGTTATAAAATTCAGAGTGAAAAGATTCATGTAAAGAACTATGATAAAAATGAACAGAAATTAAGATTATTATTTTAGCCCAATACTAAGTCTTGTGGTAGTTCATGAATATATTTAATTTTAATTTGCTCACAAATAATAATAGAAGGTTCTACCATGAAGATCTGCCAAATATTCTTTGACTTTCTGCTAAGTATAAATGATAAATCCATTATTTTCAATTTAAACTTATGTTCTATTTTCACCAACAATAACCCAAAATAACAAAATGGATAAATTATTATTAGTATAGACATACTAGAGAATAATTCAAAGTCTAGATTTATAAAGTCTTTTTGACTATGGGAAAATTCTTATGATATTATGTTAAATGATAATAAAGCTAATATGTATAAAATGTTGTGAGCCAGCCACCAGCCATTTTTCTAACAGAATTACATATTAACTAATTTATTCCTCACAACAAATCTACAAGGTAAACACTATTACTATCTCCATTTTACAGATGACAAAAGTTCAGCACAGAGAGGTAGGAACTTGTTCAAGATCCCCAAGCTTGTTAAGCAGTAGAGTTGAGATAAAAATGCAGTTACGACACTTTAGAGCCCACACTTAACAGTTATTTATATAGGAGGTAAAGCTGTAGAGATACTATTATTATGACTATATAAATCTATATTTTTGCATAGAAAGAAAATACTCTCTGGAAATATAGTTACAAGAAATTTTTTAGTTTCTTCATTATCGTTATCTTTTTTTTCCCACTTATATCATGGTCATGTTTTATGTTTATAACCAGGTCAGAACAAGAAATAGTATTTAAAAAGTATATGAAAAAAAGTTCATGTTCTGAACATGCCTTGGTTCAATTAAGTAATGGTCTTCAAAATGTATATACTATAGTCACAAATAGTCTGTACTATTTGAATAAGTGCTATGGGAAGAGAAGAGCATCTTGATCGTAAAAATCTATTTTTAGAGCTAAATGGGACCTTGGAGATCATCTCACCCAGTGGTTCTCAAAATGTAGTCCCCAGACCCCCAGCATCAACATCACCTGGGAAATGTAATCTTAGGGACCCACCCAGATCACTGAATCAAAAATTCTGGGCGTGGGGCCCAGCAACCTGTATTTTAATAAGCCTTTCAGATTATTCTGATGCATACTTGTTTAAGAATCAGTGACCTAGGCTTATGGTTCTCCGCCATGGCTACACATCAGAATCACCTCAAAGATTTTAAGAGTCTCAGTGCCTGGACTGCACCAACAGAGATCCTGAGTTAAGCGGTTTTAAGTGAGTCCATCCGTATTTTTAACTGCTCCTTATGTGATTTAACCAGAACCACTGATTTAGTCCTTTACTACTCAAAGTGTGGTTCTTAGACCCACAGAATTGACTTCCACTGGGAGTTTTTTTTTAAATGTAGACTCCAGAACCCCACTCCAGCCCCACTGAATCAGAATCTACATTTTAAAAAGATCCCCAAGTGATTTCTATATGCATTAAAGTTTGAGAAGCACTAACCATTCCCTTCATTTTACAGAGGAGAAAAACAAAAGCCAAAGGAGTTAATATCCTTTTCCTAAGATATCACTGCTAGGGGCTAGGGAGTTGGGGATGGGAGGGGGAGCAAGAACAGAAGAGTTGAATTCAAACCCAAGATGCTCAAAACTTTAGACTGTGTTCCTTCTGTTACATCATGCTGTAAAGCTTTGGATTTGATGAATCTTTCTTTTTCTCTCCTTTCCCCCACCTCCAAATGGTTTTTACCCCATAAAGTACCTAAAGCTTGGTAATGTACAAACGCCATGTCATTCCCTAAGGAAATTTAGTGTTGGCAGAGGGAGGCTTAGAAATTAAGTGCCTGAAAGCCAGTAACTGGCCCCAGAGATCTCTAAGGACTTCTGTCCAGTTCAAGATTCCATGACATCTGCACCACAGCCTTGAATAGAAACCAGAATGCCGGCATCCAATGCAGTGAGAATTTATTTCATAGTTATCAAAGCAAACCAAAGGTTATCAGTGGGTTGGACATTTAAAGATTAAGTACAGCTGATCGCACTCAACTCTTATGCAGGTAGCTTAACTTCAGTGGTTCTGGTCTCTCTCTGAAGGGAAAATGGAGGTGTTTATGATCCTGTAGCATAATGTGTTCCAGGTGATCTAGGCTAGGCGTCTGAGTTAGGCCCTCTCTTCTTTGATTTACATGGCAGGATCCAGACCATCCCTAAATTGAAAAGATATAGTAATGAGCAAACACAGAAAGAGAAAAGAGAAAAAAAGAGCTGAGGGAAAACCTGGAGTGCTTTTCCAAGTCCAAAGTGAGCTATGGCTGCCCTCTCTGCCTCAGAAGGTATGATCATAAATTACTAGCTAATGTTTAGCACTGGGGCTCTGGCCCATGATCTATTACAGAGGACAAGATGCCTCCAAGCAGAAAACACTGTAATTGGGGAGCAATAACATCTGTGTCAGTCATGGGACTGCAGTTAAAGTGAACTGAAAAGTTACAGGCTGTGCTGCAGATGCATAGAAATAATACGCACATTTTTTAGCTAAAAAGATATGTCATCAAGATATGAGCCTCTTTAAATTCTTTGGTGTCATGATAGCCTGAAGAGTATCAGTAGGACCCCCAGATTTCTGTCTTAACATTAGCACTAAGTTAGCCAACACCTCGAGGGAATTATAGTTTATAAAGCAAAGAAGTCTGAGGAACTTGGAATATGGGCTTGGTTTTCTGCAGCACAGATGCTAGGTCATTACAATACTCTGCCATCTTAAGCAGGTCACCTAATCTCTCTGAGCCTCCTAATCTAGCAAGGTCAAAGAATTCATGCATGACAGAATCCAGATCTTCTGGCTGTAAATCCTGTCATCTTCCCAGTACATCTCTGTTTGCTATGACATTGATATATAAGTAATTATAATACAAGTAGATGCTCAGTTATTCAGGGACTGAAATGTGTGCAAGGGACTTTTGTTTCTGGATAGATCAAAATAAAAAAGAACTGCTGTCTTATAACTTTTCATTTTAAAAATTCTCCCAGAGCATGACAATAGCTAAAACTCCACACCATCTATAAGTGTTCAGAAATAAACTGTCAGTGGGGGTAGTCTAGAGAGATCTAAATTGAGTTAAAATATTTTCCTACATGACCAGCCTCTGAAGTCCCTTTCAACCCAAATAATTGATGATTCTTCACTGATTAGGCCTACTGGGCCCAAAGTCCACTTGTGACTTTAAACACCCTCTTTTTTCATAGGGCAACCAGGACTTTCCCAGTTTTGCGCTAAAGTCCCAAGTTCCAGAACTGAGTCCCAGGCAAACAGGAATCACCTACTTCTGACCAACATGCTATGTTTCCTTGGCCCTTGTCCAAACCAGCACAATGTTCTTACCCGTACCTTCCACCCATAGAAAAGCCCAAATGTACACTATAAAAAGTCCTTGTCACTATACTCTGGATCTTGAGCAAACATGTAGGAGGCTTCTTCCCCTTCTTTCATTCTAACCTGCATGCTCAGGTACCTGGGCAAACACCTGGGTTTGTTTCTCTGGCTAGCCCTCTTGGAGCAATGCATCAGGTGGACCATCTGCTTGGCTTCACCACCAGACATGCCCTTTCAGGTCTCCCAGCCCCACACTTCTGCTGGCAATCCCAACTTACATGGTTCAGTTGCTGGTTCATTGAGGAGGTCTATGACTGGGTTACTGTTTATGCCATTGCTACGGTCTAGTCCTGTAGCCAATGTATGGTATAATCCATGATCAAAGCTATTATGTGGGTTTCCCAAGGCCATACTACTATATCAGTTCTCATCAATTGCCAGAATTCTTTAAAAAGCAGATGCTTTGTAGACATAAGCTTTCCAAGGGCTCAAATGCACCATTTTCATAAACTTACTTTCATAAAATTATCATAAACTTCTTGTTTGCAGACTTGTGCTGCCTTTAACCATATTGAATATCTTTCTCCTGTGGTATATTAAAAAGCCTTTACTTGTTACTTATTAACAATAAATTACTAATTAACAATAAATTAATTTGTATTATTAAAGAAATCTTTCAGCATAAATTGACTTATCTCAAGAGCTAAAAGAATATTAAGTATGGTAGAGTGGAAAGCTCAATTTGTGTTTTCTTGTTAGATCAAAGCCAGTTGGTTTATTTTAAACTATTCTAAGGTTGTTGTTTGTGTTTTACACTGATATCTCAGGAGATGCTGATGAAACTATATATTAATAGAATGGATCAATATTTAGCACATAGCCCAAAACCATATACCCAAAATGCCACCTCTTGACTCCCCCAAAGTTAAGAACATTCCTAAAACAATCCTTAATGTGCTTTATTTTTTAAATTAATTTTTATTTTACCATATACAAAAAGGATCTGAAGGGTCTTCCAGAAAAATGGACAATATTCTCAGGCTCTTACTTTGTAACATCGAACATTGTTAACCTGGTGGTGAGAAGTGGAGAGGTTGAAAGGAAGACTCTAAGATGTCCCCAGTTAAGAAAATGTTAAAAATGACATGAGATTCTATGTCTACACTCATCCACCTGACAAAATCACTGCAACAAATTTCTACCTGTAAGCAGAAATTTCTGCTTGTGTACCCCCAGTATATTCTCTCCTTTTAGAGAATATTTAGAGAATAAAATATTTTTAGTATAAATATGTCCTATGCAGTTTGTGACTTAGTAACAAATCATTTGTTATTTATCTAAAATTCAAGTCTATCTGGATATTCTATATCTTATCTATTTTATCATGTCCCTAAGGATGTGGACATGAATACTCAAGCTCCAGCAGCAATCATGGACCATAAAGAAAACTTATGGCCTAAAGCTATGCACCAATGATGATAGAAAGTATATGTGAGAGTCACAGAAGACCAGAGAGTGACATACTAACCCCGGGCCACCTTCCTGAGAACTTTTTCCACATGAGATAAATAAAGCTTTATCTTGTCTGAGCCACTATGATATAGAATTTGTTACATGCAGCCAAACTCAGTTCTAACTGGTAAACTACAATTTCCACATTGCTTTTCCTCTTCACTCTTTTTCATGTGTCTTTTTCTCTCCCCAATGCCCATAATGTGCATTTTAGGTGATTTTTTTCATTTACAGGGATGGACAGGGAGAGTAAATCCCATACAATAACTTGTCCCCTTCCTATGTTCTCAGAAACAGCTTAGCACTGAGGGGAAAAATATGAAAATATGACCTGAGATCCTCTAGAAAAATAGTTCCTGGGGGTCTTCCAAAAGACCACCAAGTAATGAAGAGATTTCCTTCAAGGGGCCATCATAAATATACAGTATTTAGGGAGGTTTGTTCTGGGGAAGGTGTTAAATTAGGCAGAGACAGAAAGCACCAATCACATTCTGAAAAGAAGGAGAGATAATAGAAAATATCTAACTCTTATTTCTGATTCTGTGGCACTGTACATTATATTAATAATTATATCTAATATTTATTGAACACTTACCATATATCAGAACTATACAAAGAATTTTATATATTTTTATATACATACATATTACATCATCCTCATGCTTACCCTGTGAGATCAACATTCTTGGTAACTTTATTTTGCATATAGGGAAGCCAAGGTTCAGAAAGGAAAAAGAACTTCTTCCAAATAAAAAAGCATGCAAGATGTGCAGCGGAAGTTTGAATCTAACCCTTCTGGTGCCAAAGCATGAATTCGGTGTTATGAATCTGTAAGTTTAAGGTACAACACTGCACTGTTTCCATTTTATCTGATGATTTAGCATTTCAAAAGGCATTTTAGGACTTGGTTCAGTTCTTTCATTCACACACACACACACACACACACACACGTATATATGCACATATTTAACTCCTGAAGTGGGCAAGAAAAAAGTATACAACTTCACGGGCAAAAGGATGAAGCACATGTTAAATGAAATGGAGTAGTGCTTCCCAATATCTTGGACTTAAGCTTTGCAGATGAAATGATGCTCTGCCTAGATTCAACTCCCTTCTAAAAATAGCTAAAAAGCACAATAAAAAACACCAGATTTAACACCAGAGCCCCACTTATTGAGTGGAGAAACTGATGTCCAGAAAGCAGGGTAACTTAGGAAAGTGTTAGAATTGGGGGAAGGGGAAAGTATACCCGGAGAAGAATTAAAGTTTAACCTAAATTGACCTGGGCATCATGCATTTATCCTTCTCAACCGACTTGCTCTTACTATGAGAATATATCCATTTTTAGGTCTTGTGAAACCATAGATTGATCAGACAAACTTACAACACAGACTCACTTTGCTATAACTTAGCTTTATTATTCCCTGAGAATGTCTACAACATTTGGACTGGACTTAGCCTCCTCAGACCCACAGACATAGTCCATGATGGTGTAATGTGATGAAGAGCTCCTTCGAAGACTGCTGAATCACAGGAAACACACAAACCAAGCAGGAAAAATGTGCCTTGAACTTTTCCACGTAATTCACCTATTGCAACTGGGGGTGGTTAGATTTTCATGAATAGGGCACCCAAGGAGAATAGCTAATATCAGACTGATCCAGAATTGAGAAAGAATAGCATGGCATCTTGCCCCAGCCATGAATAGATGACATAACAAAGAGAGAGGAAAAAGAAACAAGGAACCCAGGAGTAACGCGGAGACCAGGGCTCACCAGCCAGGCATCTGGTAAGCACCGAGTGTGGGAAATTTTCCTTGCCTCTGAGACACATATTGTTGTCCAACAATGGCACGGTGGCTGACGTTGCAAAGTCTCTGTTTCAAAAGAGAAACCAGCAGAGGTGCTCTGCTCCTCCTCTCTCCTTTGGGAAATCCTGAAAAGTGCCAACCAGCTTGCATTATTGTTAAAGATGTGAAATAAAAACACGCAGCAAGCTCTGCATTGATAATGGGCAGGGAATGGGATTAACAGAATTTTCAGGGCCTTGTTGCCATGTCATATGATAAAACATGATCTGGACTGAGACTCCAGAGCATAGCAGTGGGTCACAGCTCAGTCTCTCATTCAACAAGCAACTTCATCGCTCTCTTTCTCAATGTTCTCACCTATAAGGCATGAGGGTTCTATTGCTGGATTGGTACACCTCTTCATTCAACAACTCTATTATTGAGCTAAAGTTACATAAATGGATAACTCATGGGTCTCACATTCTAGTGAGTAAGGTAAACAAGAAAGAAGTAAACTAATAAATAAATGTCCT